AGTAGTAAAGTGGTTACTATGAGAAATAATTCCAAGGTTCAGAGTTCCTACTGGAATTTCTTCTGACAGAGGTCCACACTTTGTTGCAGAAATAGTCCAAAATGTTAGCAAAATTCTGGGTATCACTTGGGATTTGCATACTCCGTGGAGGCCACAATCCAGTGAGAAAGTAGAAAGAATGAATCAAACTTTTAAAAGGCAAATAAGTAAAATCTGTCAAGAGACAAGTTTAAAATCGGCTCAAGCACTTCCATTGGCATTATTATGAATCAGAGTACAACCAAAGTGTGGAACCTCAGTCAGTCCTTATGAATCATTTTATGCAAAACCTTATGAGTCCCCAGAACCAAATCCAAACATGCATGTAAAAGGGACACAAGATGTGTATAACTATTTGCTTTCCTTAGGAAAAACATTGATTGTGATTTGGAGTGCAGTAGTGTGGAACAGACCTCTAACTCTAGAATCCAGTGCATGATTTTCAACCAGGAAATTATGTTTATGTGAAAACGTGGACTTCCAAACCTCCGCAGGAACGCTGGAAGGGACCTTTCCGGATACTGTTAACCACCTTCACAGCTATCAAGATTGCAGAATTAGATGCTTGGATACACTATACTCAGGTGAAAAAGGCACCTACTCCATGGAAGATTATTAGCTGTGATCCAAAGACTTTAGAACTGACTCTAAAACATGTCTAATTTTTTATATCAGTTCTTTGGTTTTTTTTTTTTTAATTTTACTCTGGAAAGGGGTACTGGTTGAAGGATTGCGTAGCCTGATTCCTAGGAACAAAAGACAATAGAAACGGAACAAATGATTGACATACCCAGAGAAATGTCCAAGGAAAATTTGATGTTAGGATTGATTAAAGGATTTGCCAATTTACAAAATGTCATGCAGATTACAGCCTGTTTACCAATACCAAGAGCAGTAGAAGAATCTATTCCATGGGGAATCTTAACTATGAATTTGACCAATCTGGAACATAAAAATGAGACCACTCATTGTGAACAGAGGCCAGTAACTCAATGGTATGAACAGGTAAAGCTTATTAGGAAACAGTGGAAATCAATGGGCAAAGAAACCGATTGTAAAAAAAAAAAAACAAAAAAAAAAAAAAAAAAAAAAAAAAAAAAGGAAAATACAGTGCCAAGGTAGAAATGTGAAAAGTATATGATTGCAGCAATGCAGACTTAATAATTTAAATAATTCCTCCTTTGGCAGCTGCTTTAAATTTTGGTTGTTTTTGTCGAGGTTTTTATAATAACCTCACCTTGACTAGTATATTCACACCCAGAAGAGGATACTTTTCAGTTGTAGAAAATCCACCATTCAGAGTCCAGGACATTTAGTTTGGGTATTAAGTGATGGCACCTGGACAACCCACTTACCAGTAGATGGTAAGGTAAAACAAATTACTTTGGGCCTGCCAACATTGTGTCTGATTTGGAAGAAATCACCATTCAAAGGACCCTTAGAAAATTAAAAAATACAGTGAACCAAAAGTCAGAAACAGATGATGAACCATCAACAGGAGTCAAAATTGGCTGGGCCAATTTTGAACACAAAAGCTTCATATAGAAACAGAGAAAGGCTCTATCAGTTAACAGGACAAGTAGAAAAGTTAGCCAATATCACAAGGAAAGGATTTAAAGAATTAAACATTAAATTACAGGCAACTTCTTGAATGAAAGTTCAGAATAGGATGGCATTAGATATGCTTCTGCTAAAGGAACATGGAGTGTGTGGATATCTCAAGGATAGATTAGATCATTGTTGCATTCATATTCCGAATGTCACTCAGGATGTAGAGCATGATTTAGATCTATTTAAAAGGAAAAAAAAAAAAAAAGAAAAAAAAAAAAAAAAAAAAAAAAAAAAAAAAAAAAAAGAAGAAACAATTCGAGAAGATATGTCAGAAGATTGGCTGGGAAAATTTTTTAGTGGATTAAGATGGAATTTGAGCTCTTGGCTGAAATCCCTAATCAAGACTGTTTCTGCTACTAATTGTCTTTTTGATGATTATGCTAGTATATGCCTGTCTTAAAAGACAGTTTACTAATAGACTTGCAGTACATTGTAGGATTATGAGAGAAGTACCAAATATTCCACTACAATATGATTTACCCCCGAAATATGCTGAAACAAATATTAATTTCTGAAAATAGAAATAAATAATTCTCTAAGATGTGTAAGTATTGAAATAATTTTCAACACTTTCAAGGGGGGGAAATGTTACTGATTTTGCTATCAACGGAAATTAAGTTATGTTTGATTTTAATATGAGTATAGAATTAAGAGATATTTTAGTAGAAATTATTTGTTCACATTTATGGCACCAGAAACCAAATGCTCCTCTAAAAATCCCCGTATAGCCCCATACCAAGGCCAAAAGGATTGGTCAAAATTAACTAGTAGGAACGTTTAGAACCTAGGTAACAAACATAATTTGATTTATAAACTGATTTATGATGCATACATAGAACTGGAAGAATGCATGTGTCTGTCAAGGTCTAGGATTAATGGGAACTGAGGAAAACCAACTGTAACAGCTTGCGAGTACCTGCCAAGAAACCGTGAACTTAAGCAGCAGCTAATTCCAGCAGGGGGAGCTCACGACCACTGACTCATGGAACTCCTACTCACATTACACCCCAGACCCATTTCTAGATTTCACTTTGCATAATCGGAAATAGGAGGAGAGTATGTTGATGATTTCCAAGAAATTATATGCTTATGCATGAATACTTAATGAATATGCTTCATTAAGTTCTATATAAGATGTAAGATTTTGGTGCTTGGTGTGCGTTGGTGAGACAACTCCCCTGCGCACCCGGCCGTTAATAAAGAAGTGTCTGCTTATCTACATCACATTGGTGTCGATAAGTTTTTATCCCAGTTTTCAGTGACAGCTGGATTTAATGTCTGTATATACCTACACCTGGTGTATTCTGATCCCAGATCACACATACCAGGATTCTCATTTAATGGAGACTATAGATCCTACCAGAGGCCTATTTAGGAGTTACTATGTTCAGAATTGCAGAGCTGTGTTCCATTTCAAGAATCCAGGCCCTGATGACCTGCAAAGGACCACACTTTGACAAAATTCCAATACCACTTGGGTATCTTGACCCTTTATCTAGCTGTCAAGTGACTTCTTTTCTCAAGATATCAGACACATAGCTAAAAAATGTCCTACCTCTGTAAATCTACTTGCTGCAAAAAGCCCAGCTGCTGTCTTACCTGAGCACTGTACACTACCAGCAGCTGCTCATGATTTGCTTTGTTATGAGGTGCTAACAGTAACTATTTAAAACCTGAGCCAGTGTGCCAAGTGATCAATACAGAAACTGTCTAGCTAAGTCTCTGTGGAAACTTCATTTGAATTTTCTTTTCATGGATCACAAACCTTCATGGATTAAATCACACAAAAAAGCAATGTTAATCAACGAAAATTTTCCTGAACAACAATGAAGTTTGTGTGCAAAATCTTTACTGTAATATGGGCTAACTATAGAATTATTTATGAAAAATTTTTGCTGTTATTACCACAGCTGTTTATTATTACCTGTAACACCTTAAACATATAGTGTGCTTTATAAACTTGGACAAGACAAATTTCTTTTTCTAGATGAGCTTGCCATCTAGGTCAGACGAAGTATAGAAGGTAACAGTGAGTCAAGAGAAATGACTATTCGAGAAGAGATGGATTCACATGGTGTTTGGGAGGGAAGTCTAACTGAGATTTGGATGAGAACCACACAGTAATTCAGAGACTGCCCAAAGCAGTAGCAGTAGAACTCACTGTGCCTTTACTATGTGTTCAGATTCTCAGGAAAAAATTAGCCATGGAGGTACAGTGCCACATACGGATTGGTCCACTTTACATGTCAAAATACACATCACATGAAAAAGTACTGAGAAACTGCTTATCAAAGACATAGGTACACAAGTACCTCCTTCATGCAAGAAATCAGTTGCATACAAAATTGTCACAGCCCTGTTGTTTGAAGTATCACCCTGCAAAAATGAATGTTTGGAGCTGGAAAGAACACTTCTATACCTAGCAGTTTCTATCTGGCCATTCATGGAAATAGAACAAGAAGCACAGAAAGGTAATAGCAACAGTTCAACTCTTGCACTCGCATTTCCTGAACTGGCTGCCTGAGAAACAAACTTCAGGAGGGCAAATTAACTACTGTGATGAGATTTTTTTTTTAGTCCAAACACTAAGCAACTGCTCCATAGGTCTAGGCTACAGGTCTATTTTCATGGGTTTTAGTATATATAATAAATGGATTGAGAATACATTGTGTGATCTTTTTTAAAACATGACATAGGATGCTGATAATATAATTACTTGTACCTTTTCAGTGAATGAATATACCACCCCCACCTTCACTCAGCTAAGGGAAACCTGGTCCTATAGCAATGTAAAGCTAGGAATCTCCAGCATGTATCTTGCACATCAGAAAGCAGAAAACATGGCAAGGCCAGTGAGAGGAGCTGTTGCTGCAAATCAAACTGCTTTCATTAGAATAATTAGTTTAGAATCAGTTGACCACTTCCTGTGCAGGAGTAAAATTTCCAAGGCTGTTGGACTGCATGAAATTGTAAATTTAATGTGAGTGACCTTATTCTGTCTCTGCTGTGGTGAACTTTGTAGGCTTGAATTCAAAAGCACAATGGCAAGTTTCCAGCTACATCTAACCGTTCAAGCAATCACAAATTTCAAAAGGATGTTTTAAGGCTTCTTCTCTTGTTATCAAAAGTGTACCACTGAGTAATGAGATTGTCAACAGAAACAGACAAACCTTGCTTTGGAAAAAAAAGAATCTGTTCACCAACATTGGTACTTCATAAAATATTATATGAATAGTTTCCTGTCCATATTCTTGCTTCATTTTGTATTTTCAATCTTAGACATTAAGAAAATTAAAATACGAACTTAGCATTCAGTGTAATTGGCCACAACCCCTAGTCCTCATTTGTAATTTGCCAGTAATTTCTCACCTTTAAAATGTTAGCATTATGAATAATTATGATAATTCAGATGCAAAACAGAAATATTATGGGCCTCCCAATGAGGATACATTTTGGCCACAAGACCAGTGACTTTGGAAGTTTGTTAACTACTTTTCAGTGTTTACTTTTGTAGCTATCTATTACTACAGCTATTCAGAATGCATTCCTTAGTCCTGGATCAGTTATTCAAATAAAGGACTGTAGTCTGGTGGATTCTTCTGCTGTCCACATGGCTCCAGTAGTAGCTCCCCACCTGACGATGTGATGATTTCTTCCTAGAAAGATAAAACCAATTGAAATATCGAAGGTATAAGCCTTTCCATGTCATCTACGACAAGGAACTAATAGCAATAAAGACCATAACACCACTGTAGTTGGTAACCAGTTATAAATAAATGCTTGATAAAATTAGTATAGACCCACAGAGGGATCCTGTCAGCTTTTCATTCTTCATGCCTTGTTTATGTCTTATGACAGTAGTAATTTGAGCTAGTATCAAATAGTGGAATCAAATAGTGGTATCAAATAGTGGAAACCAAAAAAAAAGCAGAGATTTGTGCTACCTGTAAGTTGATATGCTAATTAAGAAAACCAGCTACAAATCCCTATAAAGTCTGTTCTCAAGGGTTAATTTAGCAGACATATGCCAGTCCTACTATGCCACTTCCATAGTCGTCGGGTTGAAGGAAGCTTTCCCAGGCAGATTGAGCAAGAGCTCAATATTGAGTGCTCACACACAACAGTAACAGCTTTCTGACTGATACAGAGAAGTGTATGAACCTTGCTAGGGTAAAGACAGTCTTTACAAAATAGCATCTAGTCTCACTAACTAAATACCCACATGCCAAGTCTGTCATTCCAGTAATTGATTACCAAGATGAATACAAAACAAAACTTACTGGAAAAGTAGAGGACTTGGTCTTTGCACTTATTCTGAGAGTAATGATAATTTATTTTTCTTTTTGTAGAAGTTTAAGATTTATAGATGCACCAAAATCAGACAGAATCCAGAATTATATTGACTAAAATAGCAATCCTTCATCTGAAAATTTAGATCCAAGTTATGGATCTATATATGGGCCTAGCATTTTCAAAACTTAGCCAGTTTTAATTGAAATTTAATGGAAATTTGGTGTCTGATTTCCTCGGAATGCATCCAGGCTCCCAGTTGTGGTTCATTCCCAATCACTACATCAGACTGAGAATAAGTTCAGCAAGTTACTAGTCAAATTAAATTTGAGAAGGTTATGTGGAAGTGAATACAAAGATTTAGCAATGATCTTGGATATGTTATTGCTGCTTTCCACACTGTATTTAAATGCAAATAGTAATAAGAGAAAATGCACACTCACACCCTCTTCTGCAAGAAGACTGTTCTTAACACCTACTGGTTACCATCCCCTCGTATCTGTCAGGTGAGTTGCTTGAGTGATCTCTTCTTAATTTTTTAAAATCAAAATGAAGCAATTTTAGATGAATAAGTATAAGCAACTAACAAAGTAGTTATGCCAATTATGCCAGCCCTGCTCATTTTGACTGAAAGTGAAAAGGACCCTCAAAGAGAAGTGGAGGTGAAGAAGTATACTCTTGCCAAAAATAGTCCTGAGGAAACAGCAACTTTTCCAAACAATATAGCAATAGCTGCAAGAGAAAGTGTGCCTGCAGTGCAACCATTTACATGAAGACTGCGTAGCTGGTTACCAGAAGGCTTTGGGATACTTGACAGAGTAGTTCACCAGAAAGGGTCTGCAGAAAAGTGTCAAAGAAAACCATGTGAGAGACAGGATAAGATGCCTCCTGAAATGATTGCCAAATAGACCAGTGTTTGGACCAGTTATTAAACTAGACAGTTAGAGGCAAAGTAATTCAAACCCATCTAAAGTCAAAGATGAGTAGTAAATTACTCTTGTAAGATTGTTTTGGATAATGAGGAATGATTCTTAGCACATCCCTAAAAGAGATTTCCTCCATGTTCCATTCTTTATTTCAGGGACCCCCTCCTTTGCTTTTGTACATGACAGACTTCACATCAAAGGTTGAAAAATGCTGAAATTTCATTGAAAGACCTTTCTATGGTATTTCCAATCCAAATTTGCAAACAAAGAGGGTCAAAAAGTGTTAGCTCTGTCAGTCCTTGTTAGTCCATTTTTAGCCCAGGAGTGAATCCATTGCATAAGAATCTGCTTTGAAGGGGACAAAAATACATGCTGAAGCATTGGAAAAAGGGCAAAATCCTTCTGATTCACTGCAAGAAAAGACACAAACTGTAAATTCTACAGCTAGGCTTACTGTAGAATATATATGTATACATTTTTCCCCACTAGTTACCCACTACTTTCCAGTGTGGTTTTAAATTTCGTGGTTCCTCCTTAAATTATTAATCCATTCCACTCAGCTATTGATCTCTACCTAGCAAGTGTTACCTTGTGAAAATCAATAAGATCTGTCAGTGTTGCATGTCGGTTTGGATCTACCCCCAAGAAGCTGTAGAATTCCCCCGAAGCATCAACCAGGAAGTGTTTGAACCCACTTTGCTGGCGATAAGACAATGCATAGCCCCAGATTTTCTCACTGACTCGCACCAGGAATGTTCCCTCAGATTTATTCATCAACAACTCTTCTGCTTCCTGGCGGCTGATAATACCTGGCAAGAAAAAAAAAAAAGCTATGGTTATGCAGATAAAGGTCTGTCAGAGTAAATCAAATGCAACAAATACAGATCAGAAGTGAAATTCAAATGATGTAACTTCTCAAGAATGAAATGTTTATAGAAGGAGTTAGAGCTATAGAGACAATGTTTATACTATTTTCTTCTGAAGGATAGTTGTAAGGGTTTTGATGGAGTCTGATAGGATATGCTAGGATATGCTTTTTAATTATCTGATTGACAATTGCTTTTTCCTATCCCTCCTGACAATTGCTTTTTCCTATCCCTCCTGCTTTTTCAAAGGAAGTGTATAAATACAACTGGTCTATCAGACCAGCAAAGTCTGTCCAAGTGATCATTCAGAAGACTAGCCTGGTTTGGCATTGCAATTTGAATTTGCAATACATTGCTGATATTTGCAATTGTACTGCAGTACTTTTGACTGTTGCCTTACAGCTGTTTTATAGGTTCTAAAGAAGGAAGATAAAGCAAGTGCCAGGAGAAAAATCATTTGCTTGCTTTCATGCATCTGTACATACACACATCCATACATGCATATAGATAAATTGGAGCACAAAGAAATAAATTCCTGCAACTAACAGAGCTGCTAATGAGATGGATGTCTTAGATTACTGTGGTGCTGCAACCTCTCCACTTCTGGGCTGCTCAGTGCATGGTGCAATTCCCCTTCTCCTGGGCCACATACCAACCCAAGATGGATTGCAAAAGGCAATGGACTGTAGCATTAAGGCACCCCCTTAATGTACCTGGGTCCTGCTTCCCCTATTGCTTGGGAATGTTAACAACAATCTATCACCTGCTGACAGCCTAGTACATTTGGGTTGTGGCCCAAAGACAGTGATACTAGAACTTCAAAATCTAGCAAGTTCTAGGCCTGTGCAACTAGTAGAAAGTACCAGAGTATTTCCTCATCTGAGTTGAGCTGAAAGGGAAAATTACTTCATGAAAGTCAATTATCTATGACCCTATAAAAAGTGATTCTAAATGAGACCCATTGAGTTCTCCTGGATAGCAGCAGACTGTGACCAGCATCTCTCCTGAGTTGGGATGTCTCTCAGGCTGACTTCTTGAAGTCTGAATATCATCTGCCCACAAAGCCGACATAAGGCCAGGGTGAAGGCAGAATTATTCTTGACTCTCAGTTATTGTCCATTGAGAAATACTGATGCATTTTGAGTATTTGCTCCAAATTTGAGAAGAGGGAAGGCTAGCCTCTTTCATTCACCTCTTTACCTATCTATGTGTTTAACTACACACATTTACCTTTAAGAATATGAATGTTTATATATTTCACTGGATATCCAAATATTTCTGTCCTGTTTGTATGTCTTGTGTTTTGCATATATACATATATATATACTTTGAATCAGTAGTAAGTTAGTGTGAATCTGAAATCAAGTCACTATTTTAATCATAACTTATTTTACAAAATCACTTTGTTAATGATTAAATCAAAACACCGTTAATAAATCTTCAATTATTATTAAATCATAACCATGTGAGATACCTTCATCCGCAACAATTACTTATTCACAGGCTTGCATTTCTAGGGAACATTGTCACAGAGGAAAGCAAGAAACAAAGATCATAGTCTTTTCCTCTGGGATCTTTAAGGCTTAATACAGAGTAATAGTCTCCTCTAGTTAAAAACCGTAGCCATGAGCTAAACAGAGCACCAACAAACAAAAGACTGAATATTGTATTCGTTGACCAGAAGTGAGCTCATCTTTACGATTCATAATGAACAATAATGAGTTATGCAACCTTGCCCCAGGACAAGAGAAGACAAAATTAGTTGGGGCTTCTTGCCATACATAATTATCATACTGTGATTATTTTCTCTCTGAGCCAATTTACCTCCCTGGACAAACCCCAGAAAAATTCAGTCAGGGAACAAATTCTTTCCCCATACCCTGGTCACCAAGCAGTTGTTTTATAGGTGGATTCATTCATTTGCTGTATGAAAAATTTATTAGTCAGGGCAAAAGAAGGATCACAAATTCAGATTTTCAGAGTGATCAAACAGTGTAACAGCAGTAGAGCTTTCCAGAACTTTCTCATTTTATTCTTACATGTTGGAAAAATCCTCATCTCATTTTCTTTCTGATCCTAAGACACAACACTGAAGTTGCTGGTACTTCTGCTTGCAAACAGAGTATAACAGATCAACCCTATTCTGATCACACCCCACATAAAAGGTGTGATCAGAATTGTAACCAGCACTGAAACAGGTCTTACCATCCACCTGGAGAGCCTGGTTCCAATTTGTCTGGTAGGGCTAAAGGACTGTAAGCTCATGTCTCATAAATATCTGTGAAATACCAGATGCTCACTTTCATCAGGAACAGATGTTGAATTACGCTATCCTGAATGCGAACATGGTGCAAATGTCAATAAATAATATGTGTAACATGTTCCAAAGTTACTCTCTGTGAAGCTTAACTTTCTCTAAACAATACATGTAATATTTAATGGAACTGCTTGGCATCATAGAATCCTACACATATCCTAGTGAGAGTTCCATGGAGTCCAAGTACTGAAAAGCCACATTGTTTTAGTAAAATAATAACCATATCCAAGGGATTACCAATTCGTACAAGGATGGGCCACCCTGAAAGACCAAAGTTTGGGATGTTCTAATTAAACCCACAAGGAAAATTATGCCTCTAGGAGACATAGGAAGGGACTGAGAAGATCTAGATGCCAAAAGCAAGCGATGTGCAACGTTAGGAAAAATAGAAAAGCATCTCCTTCTTTCAGTTTTTGTCTACTTTGAGACAATTAATTTATTTTACGGTTCTACTTGGTGCAATGATGAACATGACAACGGCTCAATCTCAGTGGAGCTCCAAGGTCCTCAGTACTAAGAAGAAACACATATATATATTCTGCTGAATGACATACTGTTCTAATTTCTGGAAGATATTATATCATCTTTCCACCAGACATGCAAAACAGACAGTAAACACACAAACATATGCATTTGTTTAGAAACAGCATGCAACTGCTCAGCCAACAGTGTAAATTGCTGCACTTTGCAAAACTAAAAACAGTTTTATTGGAAGTATTCCAATATGAATTGTTAAAAAATTCTTGAACTCTGTTCAGATTAAAAGACAGTACTAATATAAATCAGTATGATACAGCATATTAAGTGAAGCTGTATCACTAGATCCCAATAGCAGGAGCCACATGCCAAGAATTACACAAAAATTGATTCTGGAATCACACTATTTGTTAATCTAGTCTTCTCTCAGATTACCCCAATTTAAATATACAGTGATTATAATGCCTACTTCCATGACAAATCTCTGCTAGAAATACATGTAGATGAGACACACTAACAAGCTCAGAGCATTCAGTGATACAGGAAACTATAAACAGTTCCATCAGCAGCAAATACTACATTAACTCCAATAATCAATACTTATACTGTAATTCTAGATCGAAACCATGCTTGTAACTTTTGGGATAGGAATTTGGTGCTATTACAACTACCCTTTCTCTAAGCAGTGTCAGAATTTTTATGCAGCCCTGCTAGAGAATGAGGTGTCCTAGACAATGTAGCACCTATAGAAATATAGGGTTTGTAAAAAAAAAAAAAAAAAAAAAAAAAAAAAAAAAAAAAAAAAAAATATTATTCTTTGGAGAGTTCTAGGGTTTGAATGACCATCACTATTGGCATATAATATGAAATTCATTTATCATCAATTAGTTTAATTCTAAACAATCTGTTCACCTGCATTCTAATCCCACCAGTAAAGCTAAAACACTGCAGCCTTCCACATGATGGTATCTCTTGCCAAACCTTATTTTTTTTTTCTGGGCATTTTATTTCATTGAGTAGGTGAGAAATGCTACATTGCTCACAGCCAAGTTCTGTTTTTAATTATAATTTCTGCTAAAGATGGTGTAATAAATTATCAGCCAGCTGTTTTCTTATCTTTTCCTCTCCTGATTATGTTAACAGCTCATGAGAAACCATCTCTTCCCCACCACATCCTCCCTCTCTCTCCCTCTCAGTTATTTTATTTTTCCCTGACCGGCTAAGGGTGGGGGAGGGGCAACAGCAACATGGTCTCTGGTCCCAGCAGGTCTTAAACCACCACAGACTTTTTTGGCACACCAACGTGGGGCACAAGAGGGCTGAAATAAGAATAAAAAGGGACAGACCCTGACCAGAGTGTGATACAGCAATCTGTTGGGTGTAATTTCTCTGTTTGTATTTGTTTGATAAGACAATGTTTACAATGCTGGCCCACTTGCTTGTCTGGTGGGGCTGGATTTATCCTTATATCCAGTGTATGATCCCAGTGCTGGCGTTTGTTATTGGTGGAAAATGTATAAAGGGTCTTATGTTGTTATATGGGCTACTGACTGCTTTTAATGCTTTTGTATGGCTGGGGGTGTGTGTGTGTGTCCATAACTGTTTGCTGCCTCGGCTTTTATTAGGGGTCTCACCCCCTCTATGGGTGAGCCAGGGGAAGAGATCTTCTCCGTTTATGGGAGTTTCAACTATTCTTGGAGCCTGCAGGCCAAAGTGATTGTGGCACAATGCTTTCTGAATGCCTGCCTGATTTTGGTTTTGACCATGTGGCACATCTCTAACAATAGCAGCACCCAGAAACCTGCCCGAAGGTCAGATAATAGTGAGTGGCAAGGGGTGTGGGAAAAGATGGACAAAGGCCTGAGTCGGTGGGCACCTCCAATGCTTTGGAATTTCAATCCTGAACAAATGCAGAGCCCTGAAAAGCTGATGGATTGGTAGAAAGGGTGTGTTACCGAGCTGGCAGAACCCAGGAGACACAAATTGATGCAACATGTTGGGGACTTGCCCATGCCTACTGTGTCCTCTTTAATACGACTCACAGCCCTCAAGGGTGAGAAAAGGCTACAGAACGTGAGAGTGAACTCACTGAAACAGTATCTGGAATGGGGTAACAGGCAGAAGAACTTTCAGTCGCCTCCACCAGCAC